CACTGAGCCCTGGCAGGTTTGGCTCAGTGATTAGAGCATCAGCCGGTGGACTGAAGGGTCACATCAGGGGTGCAATTCCCGGTCACAGGCACGTACCTCGGTTGTAGGTTTGATTCAACCAGTCGATGTGTCTCTCTCACATCGATGTTTCTCTCTCTGTCTCTCCCCCTCCCTTCCACTTTCTCTAAAAATCAATGAAAAAATATCCTTGGGTGAGGATTAACAAAAAAATTAAAATTAAAAAACACTATACTAAAAAATAATAATAAAATAAAGATCACTCTAGCCCAGTGGTCGGCAAACCGCAGCTTGCGAGCCACATGCGGCTCTTTGGCCCCTTGAGCGTGGCTCTTCCACAAAATACCACGTGAGGGCGCGCACTTACAGTGCGATTGAAACTTCGTGGCCCATGTGCAGAAGTCGGTTTTTGGCCTGAGGGAGTCTATTTTGAAGAAGTGGCATTAGAAGAAGTGGGGATACGTTCACTGAGGTCGACCCCTCAGATTGAGGATGTTTTTAGCAAAGGCCAGCTTAGGAGTACCCTAATGAAGTTAATAACAATGTACCTACCTATATAGTTTAAGTTTAAAAAATTTAGCTCTCAAAAGAAATTTCAATCGTTGTACTGTTGATATTTGGCTCTGTTGACTAATGCGTTTGCTGACCACTGCCCTAGACAGTTTGGTACAGTGGATAGAATGTCGGCCTACAGACTGAAGGGTCCCAGATTCGATTCTGGCCAAGGGCACATGCCCAGGTTGCGGCCTCCATCCCCGTGCAGGAGGCAGCCAATCAACGATCCTCTCTCATCATTGATGTTTCTCTCTCTCCTTCTTCCTTCCTCTCTGAAATCAATAAAGAAATATATTTTTAAAAAATTATATCTCAATAAGGTTGATTTTTAACAAAATACTTTTAATTGATTTGAGAGAGAGAGAGGAAGGGAGAGAGAAAAAAACGTTGATTTGAGAAACATTGATTAATTGCCTCCATATCCACACTGACCAGGGATCAAACCTGCAACCTGGGAATGTGCCCTGACTGGGAATGGAACCTGCACAGGACAATGCTCCAACCAACTGAGCCACAGCAGCCAGGGCTAAAGTTAATTTTTTAAAATATAGATATCCAGGACCCACCAGAATAATTATTTGCAGCCAGGGATGTGAACCACAAGACTCTCCCTGTCCTTAAGGGATAGGGATGAGGTTAAAAGGCACCTGTGCAGTGTTCTGTCCCTTCCTGGAAGAGGAGAGAGGAGGGAGTATCTGAAAAAGGCAGAACAGCGGTAGGTGGGGCCAGTTATCCAACCTCTTGCTCCAGTAGGTCAGAAGCTTCAGGCTTCAGATCTCATCATATTTCCCATCTTCTCTCCTCTCCCCCTTGGCTTCTAGTGCTCCAGGGGCATCTCTGGTCTAGAAGGAGAAGGCTTAGGGTTTGGTACCAGGGAGTCTGTCCTTTAAGGCTTATCTGAGGGCACGTCCTGAGCACAAGCTTCCTGTAATAACTCCAAGAGTTTGGCCAGGAAAAGAGGGACTGGTCTCTGAGGATATTCTTCACAAGGTGGAAAAGGGCCGTGGGCTGTCACCCACAGCCGGGACCCCAGGGCATCCAGCTGCCGCTGTAGCCTGAACACAGCAGTCCCCACGGATGGGCCCTCCTCAAACCCAACATAGCTCCAGCCGGAAGCAGCTTGGAGTCTCAGCAGGACACACCTGTGGGGACAGAGTGACTTGGTGTCTCTGGGCAAGGGCCTGATCCCAAATTCCCACCCCCAAAGTTTCTGACTTCTGGCCTGGAACAAGTCCATTTCACCTCTTTGGGTATCAGTTTTCTCATCTGTAAAAGGGAACTCTGGCCGAAACCGGTTTGGCTCAGTGGATAGAGCGTCGGCCTGCGGACTGACAGGTCCCAGGTTCGATTCCGGTCAAGGGCATGTACTTGGGTTGCGGGCACATCCCCAGTAGGAGATGTGCAGGAGGCAGCTGATCGATGTTTCTCTCTCATCGATGTTTCTAACTCTCTATCTCTCTCCCTTCCTCTTTGTAAAAAATCAATAAAATATATTTAAAAAAAATAAAAAAAAATAAAAGGGAACTCTGAATAATCCCTAATTTTTAAAAAATATATACAGTTTTATTTATTTCAGAGAGGGAGAGGGAGAGAGAGAAACATCAATGATGAGAGTCACTAGTCGGCTGCTTCCTGCATGCCCCACACTGGGGATCAAGCCCACAACCTGGGCATGCGTCCTGACCAGGAATTGAACTGTGGCCTCCTGGTTCATAGGTCGACGCTCAACCACTGAGCTCTGCTGGCTGGGCAATAATCCCTATTTTGAGGGCTGACACTAGCCCATACTGTACCTGTGTAAGTTAGAAAAGGACATTCATTCCTTAAAACATTTCCAAGTGCTATTTTGTTAGAAAAAAAGATATTTACTGCCATCTGCTGAAAATTGACTACTATGTCCAGGATGTGAATACTATCCTTGTGTATGTGGGATCCTTGTGCAGTGTACAACCTTCACATCCATACACACAAGGCACGCACACACACACCACACACGATGGCCCTGTCCACCTTAGAGGATCAGTGTGAAGAGTAAATAAGCTAATATACTTAAAGCATTTAGACTAGTATCACACTATTTACGTGTAGCTATAATCGTCATCATTATTTGTTATTATGTGCCATCATTGTTCTAGACTTCAGAGACAGAGACAGCAGTGAACAAAATATTTTTGTCAAGACTGGGGCTGGGTCATGGACTGGACACCCAGAACAATGCCTCTGCCGCTAACAGTCATGTCTTCCAAGCCTAGTGGATTCTTCCTAAACTTCCAACTTCACTAAGAAGCTAATGAAATACTCACCAAGAGATCATCTGGGGTGTAGAGACTGCCATCATTTTTGTTTCACTACAATTCTGAGGTAGGAAGGAGAATCAGATCTTGGAGTGGGAGAGCCTGAGCTTCCTCAGACATGCCCCTGCTTCCCCTCCCTGCCCGACTGCTGACTCTCCCCTCCTGCTCCTCACCAGCATCTTCATGATGGCAACCAGGAAGTAGAAAGGCTCCTGAGGACAGAGGGGTGGTCCTGGGCTCCCTGAAGGCCTTACCAGCAGGAGAATGATCCAGAGAGGCCGCATGGGCGCCCTGCCTATCCCCAGGCTTTCTCTGGTCCCGTGGCCCAGGGTCCCGGAAGCAAGAGGTACAGAGAGAGGGAGCAAGTTGGAAGACTGGAGGGGGTGAAGGGAACTGCCCCATTCCCTCCCTGTCCAGCTCCACTCAGTCCACAGATACTCAGGGAATGCTCTCCAAGAGGCAGGGGAAGACTGTGACTCTAGAGTAGAGAGGGCCTAAGTCAGGGGGCTTACTGACCCCCCCCCACCCCCCAAGGCAGATTGGAGGCTTGATTAGTACATGAGGATCAGCCTGGAGAGTTTGGAGCCTCCTCCGCTCCCAAACGGGCCCATAAGATAGTAGCGTGTGGTGTGAGTGGGCATCCTGTGCTAGGCCTTATCCGTGTCTGAAGGTGCATAACGGGGGTCTTTGCTCTCCTTTCTGCTTCTACTTGTCCCACGTATCTTGGATCTCTGTGCCTGCCTGTCCCTGTCTGTCTCTTTCTGAGGGTTTGGCCTCTCTGTCTCGGAATCTCCATGGCTTGTATTTTCTGACTGACAGGTGTCTCTCCTTTCTCCTCCTCTCCTCCCTTGGCCCCTTTGTCTTTCTGCTCCACGTGTGCTGTTATGTCTGTGTGTCCCTCCAGGTCATGCTGTGGGTGCTCCCTTCCTCCTGCCCCTTTCCCTCTCACTCTCTCACCCGTTTGGAGCTGGACTCTAGGCCCACCAACCTCTGCCTCATCTCAGGCCTCCAGGCAAAAGGTGAATTACCACACCCCTTTGAACCTTGGACCCGAGGCCCAGTGCTGCCAGAGAAACTGAGGCAGCAGTGGGCTCCCTCCACACAGCCTAGAGGAGCCTCCTGGCTGGGAAGGGAGCATACTGAGTGGGGGGAACAAGGCAGGTGACCCCCTCCTGAGGTTGCTCAGATGGGAGGGGGTGGGGGCGGGGGCACTGGGCTGGAAAATTCTGTGGGGAGAGGCCTGGGGGCAGAGAACGCGGAGATGATCTAGGGATTCCAGGTAGGGAGCCTGAGAGGGAGATTCCGGAGGCAGGTCTCTAAGGGAAGGAGGATTCTGGGAGAGGAATTCCAAGGACGTCGGTTGCTGCGGAAAGGAGGCTCTGAAGGGAAATAAATTCTTAAGGATGGTCGATTTTGAGGGAGAGGGCTCTGAGAGAGGGGAAGATTTTGTGAAAGGAGATTCTAGGGGGTTGGTTCTAGAAAAGGTGTATTAGGGAGAAAGGGAGATTCCGGAGGAGGGGTTTCTGAGGAGATTGTGGGGGGAACGATGGGGGAGAAAGCCCTTGAGTGGAGGGAGATGAAGGGAAAGAAATCCAGAGTGAGGGACCCCAAGAGGCAGACAGGGGAGTGGACTTCTGAGAGGATTCTGGAAAGAGGAGACCCTGGTGAAAGGTGGGTTCTAGGGGAGGGGACTCCAGGAGGAAGAGGACTCTGGGAGAGGACTCTCCAAGAAGGTGGGCTCCAGCGGGTAGGAGGACTCTGAATCCTCAACCTGGGAATCCTGCCTGACTTGCCGGCTCCGGAGGGGAGATTCTGGCGGGGGAGGCTTTGGGGAGGAAGTCTGCGGGCGATGAGGGTTAAGGAAGGCCTCTTTATCGGGGACTTAGGATCGGTGCTCGCAGAGGGTAGGAGGAGGGAGGTTAGTAAAGAGCGGCATGCATATGAGAACTGCTGTGACCAATGAGGGATGAAGATGTGAAGAACGGCGTGTGCTCCTCACTCTTCTTTGGCCGCACTACCCTTCAGGCCCCGCCCCTTCCGTTCCAGGTCCCGCCCACCGCTCAGGGGATCCGCCATCCTGCCGCCAACCGGAGTCCTGCCCTCTGGCTACCTCACAGCCGTAAAGCTCCTCCTCGTCGCGACGCTGTGCTCAAGGCGCCTGCGCACTCCCTGTAAAGCCGCCGGGGTGGCCTCGCGTTTCCCTTTTCCGGTGTCGGCGCCGCGCGGTGAGGATCTCTGTGCACGCCCGCAGTCATGCCGTCCAAGGGTCCTCTGCAGTCTGTGCAGGTCTTCGGACGCAAGGTGGGCCGGGTCCCGGGGAGAGGGGTCGGGGAAGCCGGGTCTGGAAGGGGTCGATGGCAGGTTTCTGGGCCTACGCGGGAGCCGGAACCGTGATCTCACGTGGCCCTCGTCTCTCCCCTCGCTTTCTGTAGAAGACGGCCACAGCCGTGGCGCACTGCAAACGGGGCAACGGCCTCATAAAGGTGAACGGACGGCCCCTGGAGATGATCGAGCCGCGGACGCTTCAGTACAAGGTGCTGGCACTGACGACGGGCCTTTGGGTTGAGTGGGGGACTGGACAGAGATGTTGAAAAAGCAGGTTCCTGGAGTTCGTTGATCTTGGAAGCTGAGGAATCTGGTACCAACAGGAATGTTTAGAAGCTGAATTGGGATCAGAAAAATGGGGTATTTGGCGATGGTGTGGGGTTTGGGGGTACAGAAGATGTGATAAAAGCTTAGAGTGAGTGAAAACCTGGATGATTAGAGGGGGAGGTAGAAGAGGGTAAAAGGATAAATAGTGATGGAAGAAGACTTGACGTGGGGTGGTGAACACACAGTATTCTGTCATATGGCACATGACAGAATTGTACATTTGATTAACCAATATTACCCCAATAAATTTAATAAAAAAAGTGACTGTTGAAGATTGAGAAGGTGCTTTGAAAACGGATATTTGGAAGCCCACTCAATTGGGGACAAGAGACAAGAGCATTACCAGAGTTTTTTTGTCCTGATTTCTCGAAATTAGTTAATAAGGGATAACAGTTTCCACTCCTCTGGACTTTGTAGGTACTCAGTAAGATTTAAAAGAACAGGAATGGAATTTGGGTTTATTTTGCTTGGCTGAGAAGGGGCTCCTCTCTGTTGGGGCCTCAGTTTCTTTGAGATTGGAGTGTGATTTCTGTCTCTGATAGCCTATGTTGAGGCACCTAACTACTCTTCCTTGGTTGGGTTCATCATCTGTAAAATGGGGATAAGTTTTACCCTCAAGGGCTGTTGTGAGGATAAATTAGAATATCTTCCATAAAGTCTATTACT